CGGCAGCCCTGGAAGGCTTGTAAAGGTAGAACGGCAGCCCTGGAAGGCTTGTAAAGGTAGAAATTAAAATAAATGCAAACAAAGAGTAAAGGGAAATTCCATGTGGACAAAAGAGAACTGGGACTTGGAAGAAGACTTGTTTTCTATCAAGACAATGAGCCGAAGCAAACAGCCAAAGCTCCACAGAAGTGGTTTAAAGAAGACACCAACTGGCTGCACCTGAGTTGAATGACACTTTAAAAGGAGGCGCTAACTACACCTGCTGACACATTCATCTGGCTTCATATTACAGCCCTTAACACGTTTTCACAACTTGTTCCTGACAACCTCTTCTGGGCAGCTACAGGAACCACAGCAACTCTGATAAAAACAGTTCTCCTCCCACACGATCCTCTCTCGAGCCTGTGATTGACTCACACGGTGTCACTTTCACAGCAGATCCTGCAGGAATTTTCATGCAAAAATAAGACATTTCAAAGCTAAATTCCTGCAAACGTAGCACTTCTTTGTCCGTGGCTTTTATTTTCAGACGTCGTGGCCGAGACGGGAAAGAAGCGACACCTCGTTTTGCAGAAGGTCTCGTTCAGTGGGCCGGTGTAAAGGACAGCAGGGAAGTCCTTGGATGGCAAAATGATTTCTTTCTGTCTTCCTGTCATCCTCACACTCTCCTTCTCACTTTCCTCATCTCTGTTTTTGGACGCTTCCTCGTCCAGATCCCCGCCACTGTTTTCAGTCCTATTTATAAGCGTTTGACCCACACTGGTGATGATTTTAAACAAGGATGTCTTTTCGCTCACTTTGGTATTTCAAGAAAGCAGCGCGTCGTGTTTGCCCTGTAAATCTTTAATGGCGAGAGATGGCAGCTAATATCGAGCGCAGAGCCGACATGCTGTTGTGTCACCCGATGCTTGGCAGGACAGACAGCGAACGCACGAGACCGCTCAAGATGAATTAATCATTTATCAGCGTTATGCAAGCGTTTGTTACAGAGGTGTTACCAGGCAAACAGAGAAACCAACGCTTTCTTTGCAAACCATCATTTAGAGGCAAAGATGCTGCTGTGACACCCAACATCTATCACATTATTACAGCCACCTACAGCGTCTGACCGGTGTGTTGATATTTCACGCTGATACTCAAACACCTCTCTAATGGTGCAGTAGTACAAAAAACACATTTATAGCTACTTGTTTTTGTATTTTTTTTATGAGTGCTACTGCAAACACGGGGTCAAAAATACACCAAGAGCCGAGTGAGGACACAGAAGTTGGTTGTCATGGAAAGAAAACGGCCAAACAAAGGCAGGTTGGTAAGGATACACAGCAGAATGCATCTCATTAGGTCCGACAAAAGTGTATTAAAGTCATATTTTATGATTTTTTAACATAAAATGAGGAGGTACGACAACTAAACGGTCCTTAACTAGAACACAGACTTTCAACAAATCCACATATTTGGTCTCTACGACAATATTGATGATTATTTTATTTATTTATGTTTTTATTTATTCTTTGTTCTTGCTGTTATATTTGCATTTTAAAAGCCAATATTTACTCGCTGCTGCCTCCTTCATGTAAAAATGTGCTTTAAAATTATTTTTTTTGCCATTCAGTTTTTGGTATTTTGGGTTGTGTGACTGTTGCTGCAACAAAGCGGAGCCGTTGGCGCTCTGTGAAGCTAATGCTGCAGCACTTTGACTAAAATTATGGACATTTTTTTACTACGTCACTTCTTGAAAAGATGAAAGGAGGCAGAATATATGAATTTTATTTTTAAATAAATAAATACTACAACTGCAAAAGAAACTCTAGTAATAAGACTGTAGAGGAGAACACAGTGATAATACTGTTAATAAAATATCCACACGTTTAGCCTCCATTATAAGGTTAAACTATGACAACCATATATTTCTAACAACTATATTTATTCTTAGTATTTTTGTACATTTGAAGCCAATATTTACCAGCTGCTACCTGGTATAGTTTACTGTACCCAAATACAACTTTTTTGTTTTTAACACAGTCATAACATTAAGACAGAAAACAGGCTTTCCACAGTGTAGTTATCAAACTAAACGCTCCTTTCTGTTCCTGATAAACGCCTAAAACACTGTATTCTGATTAAAACCTATTTTATGAGACTATTTCATACAACACGGGTATTATAGCAGAGTTTCCTGCCGCCCTCGCTACTTTCCTCCACTTTCTATCGTGCGCTAAGGGGAGAGTTGCGCACCTTGTCCAGGCAGCTGACTTTCTCCGTCGGGTAGACGATCTTCCCGCAGCGGGCGCACGGCGGGTTCATCCTCCGGTCCTGCTCGGAGCTCTTCACCGGAGACGCGACGCTGTGAGCCGGGTGGTGGAAGGGGGGCAGGAGGAGAAGAAGGAGACAGCAGCTCGGGCACCGGGACCAGCCTCCACCTGCGACGCCGGAGAAGCTGCGAGAAGGAGCCGCTGCAAAAGAGCCGCCGGTTGTGCTTGTTTCACTCCGCGGAGCAGCGTCCGGTCTGAGGACTGGAGCTGCAGCCCGAACAGAGTCCAGCGGCGGCGGCAAGATGGCAGCAGTGAGAGCCGGAGGGACAGGAAGCTGTGGAGGGAGCGGAGGGAGCGGAGCAGCAGCCAGCAGGCATCAGCAAGAAGACTGACAGCAAGTCTTCATAGGCAGGAAGACACGGAGCCAAGCATGAAGCAGCTTCATGAACACTCAACTACAGCGGATCAGAAATAATAAACATTCATTAGAACAATGATCATTTAAAAAAACAGAATAATGACACGATTTTAGTTTTTAACAACAGACTTTAAAAAATAAATTGTACACATTGTCAAATACATATATATATAAATATATTATTGTTGATGATGAATTGAACATTAAAAAATTAAATTTCCTCGTCAAAATGAGAGTAAATAAGGTACATATTTGGCAAAACAATAGTAAATACTACAATAAATAAATAAATGTGTACGCTGATTTTTGGGGGTATTATTTCAATTAGTAGTTGTGGCATTAGTAGCATAAATAATATGTTTTATTCTTATTTTAATCTTAAAATAGTTTTAACAATAAATAAATAAAAAGTACATAAATTGACCAGCATTTATTTAAAAACATAATAATAATAATAATAATAATAATAATAATAATAATAATAATAATCTATTTTGTCTTTAAAAAATGAGAAAATAGGTTTTTTTTCTTTTGGTCATATTATTCTAAATAATAACAGAACTTTTTATTTTTGTCTTTTTTTTACTTTTTGAAAATAATAATAAATAACTACCATTTTGTTGACAATAATACATTATTTACTAAAATACAAATCTATTTCCTATATCAAAATACGAATGTAAATAAAATACATGTTTTGTAAACAATAGCAAATAATACAATAAATAAATGTGAAATCTGCAATTGTATAATTTGCAAAAAGCTATTATGATTATGATTTTAATAATAATTGTTTATTTTAACATAGAAACATAAATAAAAAAAAATTTTTAAAAGTCATCCAAAATGTGACAATAAATTAAGTCCATCCTTTGTCATTAGTAGCACATAATAAATAAAAATACATGTAAAAAAAAAAAAAAAAAATCTTTACTTAAGTAGGTCTTCATACACACTTCTGTAAAAGTGTGAATCATTTGAAAGAATATTATTTGTCAACAATAATAATAATATGATGAGAGTTTGGACACCAGATATACCAAATATGCACCATAACCTCCAGCAGCCTCAGAGACGGCTGCTGCGCTGTGCTTCTCCTAAACAAGTTCATGAATATAGAAACACAGATGTCATCTTGGGTTTGTGATTATTCTTCCTAACACTGACTTTTATCTGAGTAATATTATACCCAGTGGGTTTAAATAGAAACACCACCAACTCTGACCAAGGACAAGTAAAGGACTCCCCCTGCTGGCTGATGGAGGTACAATCTACACCAAACAACAGTTTAAGGATAAATTAGGGTAAGATGATGTCATTTACAGAACAATAAAGTGGGAAGTTACATACTTTTGAAGATGACTTTTATTTTTTACTTGGTTTCAGAGATCCTTGACCTCGGTGCTGAAGCGTTATGTGGGTTTGACCTTCAAACACCTGAATTTGAGCCATCTGCTGAGATTGTAATGATCCTTTTATGACTTCTGTTGAACTTGCTTGACTTGTCTTCTACTGAAGCTGCTGGCTGACGGGAAACCACACTAAATAATCTGAGGTCTGTGAGCAGGTGGCTTAAATTTGGAGATGGGAATTTCTTTATCTGAACTTGTGCGAGGATAAGATAAGGT